CAAATAAAATAAAAATGAGTCAAACTACCATAATAACTTTTACAACCTCCACCATCTGTTCCCAGGGCAGCAGAGCATAGTCCAGAAGCTACTAGTGCTGCTGGACCAGAAGAGGATCCACCTGTATATCTTTCAGGTGCATGAGGGTTTCTGGTTGTTCTGTACCTCAATATATTGATAAATTAAGTAAATAAAGGTAAGTCCTAGATATTTGTATGGTTAATTATGCTAGTCATGAAAGGTACTACAGATAACTTGTCAATTAAAATATTACTTAAACAACAGATTCAAATATGCATCTGTTATATATCTGGCAAACAACAAATTTACCCATAATTTGGATTGTTTCCAGTTGTGCCCATGCCCAACTCATGCATGTTTGCCTTCCCAATAAGAATCACACCACAGCTCCGCAATCTGGAGACACAAACCGCATCCTTCTTAACAGAACGAACCTCATGCATCCATGTTGTTGCACCTGTCATCAAAAAATTCGAATGTATTATTACTGCCACTACAAAGAAAAATTTCAGGAAACATGATTTTAGAAGATAAGTGGTGAGCTTATCTACCCTTAGATGGATGAGGATAGCAGTCTATATCATCCTTGATTGCCATGAAAATTCCATCCAAGATTGACAATGGATTTCCTGCATGACTCGCAGCCACAGTTCCATTTCAGTGATTTTGATTCTAACCTTATAAGACTTTTATACATGGAGAACATTATATTAACCATAGTATGTGGATGAAAAGGCTTAAATAGCATCATGAACAGATAATACAACAATACCTTCCTCAAACCTTTGTGTTGAAGCTAGAGCTTGCTTCCTTACTTCCTCAGCATCAAAAGAAACCAATAATGGTGTTGGGGGCTTATGATAGTTACACCCCTCGATAACTGAGATGAGTTGTTCTGCAACCTGTAAACCCAACAGTGGGAATTTCCCTTTGTAATTGATTTAGAGCGAAAGCAGCTGTCTGGCAATTAATGGCGACTTACCATAGAAGGTGTCACAACTTTAGATCTATAAGCATAGGCATAATCACGAATCTTCCAGTACCGGAAAGATGGAAGAGAATCCCGACTCCAGCAACTAGCAGGATCATAATGTGGAAGACACTTTAAGGCCGTTGCAACCCGATCTTCAGGTTTTCCTTCTTCATCCACAATGACAACTGAAGGTTCTATTTCTGATTTGATGTCATACATATGGTCAGTTACTTTCTAAGATATAAAAATTAGTGATACGCATGAAAGCCATTGATAGTTGCTCAGTTCACATTTCTCATTCTCAAATTTTAGGCAATAAACCAAACAAATGCTATTACCGTCAAAAACATGCACATGGCTATCTTGGAGGATCCAATTTCAAAATTTATTGATACCAACTTACCAATTACGACATGGTGAAACCCAAAATTACAGTCAAAAATTGCTGTTAACATACAGAATCAGTATTTGTAATTTAACATTAAAACAAGGTACATCCATCATCAAAAGAACAACAGTTTCTTCTAAAAGTACAATTTAACATCAAAAGAAATTGAAAAGGTGATAAGAAACTAAACCTTGAGGAGGAAATTCAGGCTTAAACATGGGTGCTTCCGGTATCAGAGTGTTCTGCAACAGCTGCAAATACCAAAGATATTGAAAGTCGCCATTAAATTCCCCTAAGAAACACGCATTTCAAACTGATCGAATAAGGAAATTAAAGCAAAAAAACAAAGGGGGGGGGAACTTACCTCAACCATCTTGTTCTGCTTTTTCAAGAAAGAAATGATGAAAGAACCTATAACTGGAGCTTCAATTACCCTCACAAAAAACTTGAGCATCAACCCCGTCAAATGAGGAGCTGCTCCCCCGACCCACGACAAAAGAAAAAAAGAAAAAAAACAAACAAAACTAGTATCAAATTCTAAGTCAAAGGATCAGATATATCGCACTTCCCATAAACAAAAAACCACGTTATAACTGAGACCTTGGATTTCTTCATGCTCGTATTTCACGGTTGACAAGTCCAGTTTCTCGGCCGGTACCATAACCCGCTTCTTCCCCATCTTCGGTAATGAGTTTTGACTTGCTTCTTTGAATGAATGTATCAATGACAAGTTTAGACTATTGGAAGACTTTGTAACGTCTTAATATATATATATATTATATATAAGAATGGCATTGGCAAGGTGAGAGTCGAGAATCGACGGTAAGTAACTGAGTTGCAATAATAAAGTGAAGTAGTTGGAAGCCATTCGTTGCGTTACTAATTGCCGGTCGTTTCGTTTGGAAGTGTGCTTCGGCCTTTTCTCAAGTCTTGGTAGGAGTTGGGAGTAGGGGTCCAAACCTATCCAAAGCTACACCACTTGGTGGCAGTTAGCTCAGCGCCATTGCTTTTACCTTATGACTTCTCTTCGGCCCATCTTGATTTAAAATTCATTTTGGCCTGTACTAATTGTTGATGTACATTTCAATGTATTTACAAGTAAAAAAGTGCGATTCCGTCATATGTTCAGATGTCACCTTAATTTTTTATTTAATTTTTGATGGAAATTGTAAAAGGGTTCAATTCTAACCTTATCCAAAAATAATATAAAACAGAAACAATTAAATAAAAGCAACAAAAAAAACTTCGAAAGCATATGAAATGAACACGGTTATTCACAACCTATACAGGAGCCTCAACAAAAAATTTAATATGATGTTGGATAATATCATTTTTTATTATTTTAAACTTTTTTAAATAATTATCATCCAACTTAATAACTATTATTATGTTTAAATTTTAATAAAAGAATTGTTAACACATTATTTACCCAAAAATTCTCTTAAATTTTAAATTTTAAATTTTAATAAGCATAGTTCTCTCATTGATCAAAAATTCTTCAAAACACGTTTTCTTTAACTCAGGTATTCGTGTCACAAGCTTTGAACTTAAAAAGCGAAGCAATACCAACAAAACTTGAAAAAAGGATTTAGAGGGAAAAAAATTATTTTATTCTCAAAAGAAATATAAATACTTAAATTTTAAACAAATAGCCTAACGTCTAAAATTGCTTGAATCCTATCGGTTCTATTTATTACTGGGACAATAGAGTCGATGTATATTCTTAAAGCTTTAAGATCCTATTTATAATAGATTTTTTTAATGGTCTAGTATTACCAGTGTAGGTAACAAAAATTAAAATATATAAATATTTTATGACCAACTTAAAGCCTTAATGTAAATAAAATAAATAGATAAATGACTATACATGAAAATTCTATCATAAACAAATCATCTTATTTGAGTACTTCTTTTGAAGTTGAGTTTTTTGTATAATCTTCGCTGTGCGCGACCCATAGTCTTGTGAGATTGTGGCATGGTGTGTCTGTGATCCATTGGTTGTCGATGGGCTCCTAATCATTATTGGCTCGGGATCAATTTGTGACCCTAAGAGGTGTGTGACACTTGTTTGTGTTACTGTCCTAACTAGTTTTCCAGACCGTGACACAAGGGCTAGGTACATTATGCGACTAGAAAACATGAAAGTGGTGTTTGATGCTTTATCATTTTAATATTCTAATGGAACTTGATTTTTGAAAAAATAATTATTAGAAAGATAATATTGTAATATTTAATATATATGAAAAATAATTAATTTAAAAATTTGGAAAAATAATATTATCACATTTGGTTTATAAATATTTTACTGTCAATATGATATGAATTTCTTAAAGTATCTTTATATAGTAAAATGTAAATTTAATACACGTACATGTATTTTATGATTCAATTAATTAAGTATTAGAGAATTAAATTAGTTTATACACTCGGTAATTATTTGGAGAGGGAGAAAGATGCGACAAATTAAAAGGCCCTTTATGGTGTATTCGGGCCACGTACCATGACAAAACTAAGGATGAAAAACTAAAAAGTAATTGGGCCAACCCAGCAAACATGGCTCAAGCCACGTTTTTAACGACACAAGCCCATATTGAAACCATTCCAATTATTGGGTTAGAAATTAGGAATAAAGGGGCTGGGTGCATGAACCACGCTCATCGGGAGAAAAATGTCGCAGACTTGCAGTACGTAAAGTGGCAGTACTGTACAATGTTGAGGTTGCCAAATTGTTTTTGAGTAGATAAATGGTAGGTTGGGAGTTGGGACCTTTCGGAAGATATAAATGAAACGTTTCTTTCGAGTGTAGCGTAGGGGACAGGACCTTGGCGAAAAAAGGAATAATAGGAGAAGAAAAATAAAGAAAATAATACTAGGACCAGATAGATATAAGTTTTCATGTGTTTACTAACTTTAAATCATTTCAAAGAGTTGTTGAACATTTGTCCACTCTTATTTTCGCCGTGTTTGGGTGGCAATAATATATGGCATTGCCGGGTATCACCTTTGGTGAGAAATAAAGCATACGTTCCAATTTCCAGCACAAAAAGTCAAATGTCTCATTTGAATGTGGAAAAAGAAAACACACTAACATGTATGCTCACAAGCATGACTTTAGGTTGAGACTTGAGGGGACTCTATTCCATACATACAAGCACTGATCAAATCAAAGTGGGAAAACAGCCTTAGATGAATTCCCTAGCTTCTAAAGTGTTTTCTTGTTCTAAATTCTTATGAATAATTAGATAATTAACTATAAATGAAGTTGTTTTCACGTATATTTTGATTTTTTTAACATAAATATCAATTATTAATAAAATATGATTACTTTCTTTGTAAGAAGAAAATTAAGTGAAGATAGATATTTGTCCATCAAGTGCAAATTGGCCCTATTAGAATGCCTTGCTGGGAGCGGTGGGCTAGGTTAGTCCCGGAGTCACACTAAAACTAATAGCCATGGCTAGGTCCCAGCTAGCTAAGGCTAACGCATTAAACTTGCCCAAACAAGTATAACCCATAACCCAAGTTCAATAGAGACGACTTATTTTAACCTTTCGGTGCTGATATTTAAATTTTGCATGTTTATTTTTAAAATGGTCAACGCAATTTATTGTTATATAAACTCATGCAATGAGAGTATTTTGATAAAAGAATCAAGATGAATTTTGTCACTATATTACGATTCATTCATTTAATTTCAAATAAAAAGTAACGAATTGAAATATATTTTAAGTGATGAATTTCTTTTGATTATACTTCAAAAATCTCTTAAACATACATTTTCTCCGTTTTGATAACTCTAGTCAGCACGCTTCCGCGATTGCTGCTGTCACTGCATGTCTTTTTCTTTTGTTTTTAACCCATTGTTATATGTAGCTGTTGAAGCAGAGGTTAATAGGCGTGTCAACGGGTAAAGTTTTTAATTTTTCAATACTTAAAAGTTGAACTCGATTTGTAAATGAGATATCTAATTTTATAATTATTTAAATATTTTTTAAATTTATTATCTCAATTCAGATCTTAATATATATCTACTACTTGATAATAACTCTAATCAATTTAAAAGTTTAATTATGTAAAAAAATTATTAAAATACTCTTCATAAGTATTTAATTATTAAAACTCAAATTCAGATGTAGTTATGTATAATAATATTTTCATCTATATTTTATATAATTCATTAAAAATTAACTTTATAAAAATAAACAAACAATAAAATTTAAATTTAAATAATAAAAATAAATATCTAAAATATAAAATTAAATAATTAAAAATAAATATTCAAATAACAACTTAAATAATATTACAAATTTAATTAACTATCTAAATTTATTTTTAATTACATAAAATTAAAAAAAAATTAAATTTTAAAATTATTATAATCTTATAATTTATTGAAATCTTACTCGAACTCCAATTATATAATAAAATTACTATTTAAAATTAATTATAAGATACTTTAATTTTATATAATCAAACCGAATATTCGCTATAATCTTATAAAAGGGGTATACATTATTGTCCCTAAATATTATAACTTCACGATTCATGACCCTCCCATGTTTTCCTCCAGAAACGAATGATTATCGCCCAAGTCCGGAAATGATTACAGCCATGAGTTGGATATGCTTTAGCCCACAGATCGCCTGTGGATGTGTCTGACTTTAGAGACTCCACATTTTCATCTTTCTTCTGCACACCATTGGTGAAAAAGGGTGACATTGATTGCAGTAAAAGTCTTACTCATTGTCATTGCTGTGATAACATGCTTAGGGATAATGACCAAAGGCATTAGGCATGTGCCTTGCTTCAATTTCAACAGTTTAATTAATATATTGCAAGTTAGTAGTAATTAATGGAAACTTTTCATCTTTAGTGGGAACAAAATTAATGTCAATTAATTTGTGTGTGGGGTAACCTTTCATTAGTATTAAATTAAAAGGCATGATTTAGATAGTACTATGATATCCATATTATTTTTTAAAAACAAGAAACCTGGGTGAATTCTATCCTGATTGATTTTATCAATAAAATCGGGGTTTTAAATATGGAAAACAAAGAGTGAATTCTAGCAATTCCGGAAGGCAAAAGATCCATGATGAACGTGTCAGTGCTCGGCGATATCAGCACTTTTTCGCTTTTCCCACGCTATGCACGCGGGCCATCCTCTCCCATGAGGCCGTGACGCGTAAATCACGTTATATTTAACCAATTTCCGTAATTTATCCCCTTCAATTTAAACCCAGTCCATCGCGAATCACATCCCTGTTGGAAAGAGGGCTGTGGTAGTGTGGTCTCTGTGTCACCTCTTTGCTTATGGAAAAAGTCTAATACTGGTATGACACGATCTGTTGAATGGAATAACCATTCCACTCTTACCTCATTTTCAGGTTGGATGCTTATTTTACTATTTTGATTTTTTTTAAAGAAATAATCATTCTCAGCTCATTCTAAATTATAAGAGATTGTATTAATATGTTTTGAAATTATTTTTATGAATCAAATACTTTTATAGTATTTTATTTTAGCAAATCAAGTAGCTTTTATTTCATTCTCATAAAATAATAATTCTATTCTCATCTTATTTTTATTTTGTACACTAAATTATGAAAAGTGTGAAAACTGTTCAAAACTGTTTGATTTGAAAAATTGGACCATTTTCACCAAAAGTTTGAACCATTAAGTATATTTACACTATTCACATATGATTAATTAAAAAAATTAAAACGACAAAAAATATAAATGAGGTTTATTCAAAAAAATTTGATAACGAAGACACAAAAACATGAATAGAAACGTATATATGGAAAAATGGTGGGACGCGCGAGGGTGTAGTTAAGAACAACAGAATCCTATTGCCTATTGGCCCTGGTGAAGTGTCTGCGGCCCACGTGGCACTTGGCAGCTTCATAGTGCCAGTGCCAGTGCCAGAGAGAGAAAGAGAAAGCTAAGACTAATAAGAGGGTTGTGTGCGTTATGTAAGGGAGGGCTCATTGTCCAATCCCAGTCAACACATCACTCTCTTATCCCTTCTCTCTCAATCAATGCACCGGGCCTTCGGTCCCACCACAACTCCCTCAAAGTCTTACTTACCCCCTCTGAGCCCACTTCTCCCTTCACCACCTGCCTCACCCTCCTTTCCATCCTATCATGTTCTCACTTAACCACCTGTCCCCGATCCTACCCTAAATCGATCACGGCAACTTCTGACAACACACAAGTTCCATACACTGGTTGGCTACGATATCCCACCCTCTTTCGCTTCCAAATATCCCCTAGCAAACGTCAGAAGATTTTAGTCTTCTGCGTTCCCTGGGCTCTCTCTAAACCATAAGCGCCCTCGTCTTCGAGCACGCTGTAAAGTTTTCATTATTTTTGAAGTTCAGAAAAATGGAGAATTACTCTTATAACTCATATCCGGACTCCGGCGACTCTTCGCCACGATCCCGAGAAATCGACTTTGAAAACCCGCCACCATGGGAGGACCAACAGCAACATGCACAAAATTACAAGGCCAAGTTCATGTGCAGCTATGGCGGCAAGATCCACCCTCGCCCTCACGACAACCAGCTAGCGTACATCGGCGGAGAGACCAAGATCCTAGCCGTTGAACGCAACATCAAATTGTCCTCCATGATCTCCAAGCTCTCCGCTATCTGCGGCGGCGGCGACGCTGACGTTTCCTTCAAGTACCAGCTCCCCGGCGAAGACCTCGACGCCCTGATTTCCGTCACTAACGATGATGATCTCGAGCACATGATGCACGAGTACGATCGCCTTTATCGAGCCTCGGCTAAGCCAGCGAGGATGCGGCTGTTCATATTTACGGCGATTGGCTCCGCGAATTTCGGGTGCGAAGGGGCGAAATCGGAACGGGACCGTTTCGT